GGAATCTATATATATATAGGTAAGATAGCTTAGGAGAGGCGTTAGTGTTAGATTATAAGTGCTAATTCGCTTTTTTTTATTACCCTAGGTTAGTTAGAACTTACTCCGCTAACTTACTAACTTATAAGACGTTAGTAAATATTAAAATTATTACTTTAAGCTAATACGCGTTTTCTTTTCTTTTACTTCTATACCTTTAATATTAATATCCCCTACTCTTTTACTAATTTATTAACTTCTATAAAAGTATAGTTACCTATAGTAGATATAGGTTATATAGTGTTATAACTAAAGGCACCTAACTTAATACTATTAAAAATACTAGCTATTATAGGTTATAAGGCTTACTATAAGGCTCTTTTAGGCGTAACTCTATATAGCCTTTATAGCTTTTAAGTAGTAAAGATATAGATAAAAAAGATGTTTCTAAGTATCTAATAGTAACTAGCTTTATTATTAGTTTCTCCTTCTATTACTTTTCTAATATAATATACTTAATTTATAAATAGCTTAGCTAAGATAAGACTATCTAAGTCTTAAAAATAGCTAGGTCTATTACTTAGACTAATTAGCTATATAAAAGCTTATAAGTTATTAAGTTATAAGAGTAGCTAAAATACTAAGCTTTATCTTATATTTAGGGACCTAGAGGGTAATATAATCTAATTATACTAATTAATAATTATCCTTTTTAAATTAATATATCTTTATTTTAAGTATTTTTAAAGCTTATAATTAGTACCTTACTAGTTACTTTATAAGTTAATTAGATTTATATTAACTAACTAGATAATACTAAAAAGTAATAATAAGTTTAATTAATATTTAAGATATATTAGTAAGCTAACTAAGTTATATATTAGCTTAGTGTTTAAGAAAATAATAATAATATTACTTTTAAGCTCCTCTATATTCTTAATCTTAGTAATAAGATATATAAAGCCTATAATAACCTAGTAGCTAGAGGGTATATATAAAGCCTTACTAATCTCTTTAGTCTATTAAATATACTTAGTAAAGTAGTAGCTTTACTTTTTTAGAGATCCTAGTTTAAAAGACTATGGATCGTGTAAGAAGTAGCCCTAGCGAATCGTGTTTTAGTACACTACGGTGCATACTCCATAGAAGGGCAGCTATAAAAGCCGCATTTGCGTCTACATTAGCTATAGATGGTAACATTATAAACAAGACCCGGATAGAAAGTAGCATTAGCCTAGAAAATTTTAGAATGCATTTTGACTACTAGGCTGCGAGAAACCTAGTTACGCTTAGTAAAGGATATCTAAGGAACATAGGCGCGAGGAATTAACTTATATCGTATATCTCGTAGCGTAACTTTACTATCATATTCTTTATTATAGAAACTAGGAAATTAGGACTTAGGTCTATTTATATATCCCCTAGAGATTTAGTGTTCTTTATTTATAGCTTAAAAGTGCCTTTATTATAGTAGATAGTATAAGTGGCTTTTATATATTATAAGGGGAATATTTTATAAGTAGCCTAATAGAAGTAAAAGTAGGTTACTCTAATATAGATAAATATCTATTTTTAAGTTAAGTTTTTATAAGATAAATATTATAAACTAAGTAATACTCTTTATCTATAATATCTCTCCTTTCTATTCTTACTATATATACTAAATATATTTACTTTATAACCTAAACACTAATGCCCTAGTTTATCTAGATAATAATATAAATAGTAGATCTTAGTTTAATATTAAGTATAGCTATACTTTTTATATTATAGAAAATTAATATAGTAAATAAATATTACTTTTATATATAAAGTTATATTTAAGCCTCTATAGAGGTATTAATTAGATAGTGTAATTATAAAGTTAAAGGAATTATTATATTTAAGATAGTGGTTTATAGGTTCTAGATTAGTATAGAAAATAAAAAATATATAATAAGGAGAAAGAGCTAGTATAAGTAAAAAAATTTAAAAGTTTATAAAGAGCTATAAGCTAAGTATTTTCTAATATCTATTTAAAATTTTCTTATTAAATCTATAGTTTTTATAGTAATATATAGTTAAGTTAATAGTAAGTATATTATACTATATAGCTTAGTATAGGTAGCCTAATTCCTTAGAGATTACTAAAGTAGCTTAGTTAATATAGTAACTAGGTATAGAGAGGTATCTTAAATATTCTAGTACTATATTTCTTCTTACTTAACTTATTATCTTAGCTACTAATATAAATCTATTACCTAACGCCTATAAATAGCTTAACCTTTTAAACTATCTAGAAATAACTAAAAAATAATATATTATAATAATAAGTATAGGGCTCTCTTTTAGTAGCTATATAATACTATACTTTAAAAGGTAAAGCTTATTTATAATCTTATCTAAAGACATTAGCTTTCTATCTAACTTTACTTAGAAGACTAGTTAGTTACTATTTTTTACTCTTTTCTTAATAATTAGATATTTAAGAGTAATTATATAGCTTAGTATAACTTCCTAGAGCTTTTCTATAGCCCTAAACTATAGCTTACCCTAGCTATAGCCACTAATATAGAGACTTCTATATCTAAGTCTATTATAGCTCTATAAGAGTCTATTAAAGCTTTAGTATTAGGAAAGTATACCTAGTAAATAAGCCTTATAAATAACCTCCTTCCTATACCTACTTATTAGCTTACCACTACTTATAGTTTATTTAATACTAGCGACTAGTCTAATATTATAATTAATATTAGAAAAAAAAATACTATATTTACTAACTTATAATTTATAAGTTCTTTAATATATTAAAATCCTTATATTAATTTAAGTAATAATAAATAATATTAACTACTAAATAAGTAACTAAAGAGGAGGTAAAGTAGCTTTAGAGTAGTATATACCCTCTTAAGCTAATACTTAACCTCTTAGTATATAACCTAGTTATAATTAATTATATATTATAATTTTTTTACTATCTAGATTATAACTATTAATCTATTATTATAAGGGGTAGTAATATCCTCTCTAAAAAAGCTAAAGGTAAAAAAGTTATCTAGCCTAGCTTATTAACCTATATCCTTATTTATAAGATTATAAATTATTATATAATTAATAAACTTAAAAAGCTTACCTTATTAAAGTTTACTATAAAGGTAAAATAAGTAATTTAGCTAGAGGACTTTATTACTACTACTAAAGAAGTATATTATAATATATATAAGTATTTTAATATATTATATAAAGAGGTTATTTATATAGTCTATTACTACTAAAAATAGCTACTCCTAGACGTTAGGGTCTAAGATTTATTATCTTATAATAGGGTTATAGGTTATAATAATCTTTATTATTTTATAAAGAGATTTTAAGTTAAAAGTTAGTATTAATATTAGATATATATTTATTTATTATTTTATTATACTTAGTAACTTCTAGCTAATAAGGCTTATTAGCTATTTATAGGTATATTTCTAGCTACTTACCTTATCTCTTTTACTTTATCCCTATTATTTTCTATTCTCTTTACTTTATCTTTTTATCCCTAATATCTAATATACTATATAATTTATTATTAGTAACTAACTAGCTTAAGAGCTATTCCCTAAGTATTTAGTGTCCTATCTATAGTAGCTAAAATGTTATTAATTATACTTACTAGGGACGTAGTTTTATAGTCTAATAAAAAACCCTTTTATACTAATTTACCTATTAATTATTAAAACGTCCTATAGCTAGTATAAACTATATTATTACTTAAATTACTTTTATATTTAGTTTCCATTTTAGTCTATTTAATACTAATTTTCCCCCTAGTTAGTATAATAAATTATTCTATCTTATACTTATATATACTTATAACTCTTTTTACTATTACTAGATATATACTTATAGATAAAATAGGCTTCTAGTTTTAGTAATATATTTAATTTTCCTAATAACTTTAAAAGAGTAATAAAAAAAGAGGAGGAAAGGAGGACTAGGAAAGGTCTAATAAGTTAGAGATAGAGAACTACTATATATAGCCGCCTATATAATAGAGTTATCTAAACTAGAAGTAAAGCTAATATTTATCTAAGATAAAGCTTTACTTTTAGGACTAATAATAATAATATCTATAGGTAGATAGAATGTTATATAGCTACTTTAATAGTGGTTAGGATAGTCTATAAATAAAGAAGAAGAAGAAGAAGAAGAAGGAGGAGGAGGGCTATATATGGTGCCGCCCTAGTAGACGCCTTTAATTATCTATATAGCGAAAATAGCCGTAGAAGCTGTTAAAGAACATAACGCTATAGAACTAGGGATAATCTATATCTATACTAACGGTAGCGGTATTAATGGCTATATTAGCGTAGCTATAATCATACCTAATCTTTAGTTTAATAGCATTAGTAAGAAATAAATATAGTATATAGGCACCTCTAATATATCTATAGTATACGTAGTAAAGCTCTGTAAACTGGTTCTAGCTCTATAAGTGGCTCTTAATATATATAAGGCTAGGGCCCTTCCTAGCTAGTATATTATCTTTACTAATAACTAGGTAGTACTTTAGGCTATCCTAAACCTAAAGTGTCTATCTAGCTAATATATCCTTATAGAGGCTATATAGGCTCTAGATAAGCTTTAGAGCTAAAACTAGAGAATTTAGTTCTATTAGATCGCTATATATGTTAGAGTGCCTAGAAACGAGACTACTAACTAAGTAGTAAAAGAAGCTATGGATCTAGACTTAGCCTAACTAGATACCGTAGAACCTTAGACACTTATTACCATGATAAGGACTAATATTTAATAAGTAATAAAAGTAAAATAGGCCTAAGCCTAGGCAACTAATAAGTATAGACATAACCTCTTTAACCTTAATGTCTAGCTAAGTAAGGTAATACTCTTTATATATAATAAAATATATAAAGCTATTAGCTTAGTTATTATATAAATATATACTAGAAAGATTAGCCTTAGAGTATATTTATATTCTATTAATAAGGCTAACTCTAACTAATACCCCTATAGTTATAGCCCTTAAACTATACGCTATGTCCTACTTTAGTATAGAGACTAGGTAAATAAAAGAGATAAAATATAGGTAGGTAAGTAGCTATAAGATAACCTTAAACACATACTTTATAGCTTATTAATAGCTATATAAATAGCTAAGATAATAATATAGACAGGACTCCTAGGCTAGTTCTAGGTAGTCCTATCTATAGTACTTTAATATACTTAGTATAAATAAGTAATATTATATAAATAGAAGTAGAGGAGGACTAGGAAAGGTCTAATAAGTTAGAGATAGAGAACTACTATATATAGCCGCCTATATAATAGAGTTATCTAAATTAGAAGTAAAGCTAATATCTATCTAAGATAAAGCTTTACTTTTAAGACTAATAATAATAATATCTATAGGTAGATAGAACGCTATATAGCTACTTTAATAGTGGCTAGGATAGTCTATAAATAAAGAAGAAGAAAGAGGAGGAATACCCTTACTTATTTAGTAATAGTATAAAGTATTATATATAAAAAATCTTACCTATAAATATATTTATTATCTAGAAGTAGTATATCCTAGTAGTTTCTTATATATAATTCCTTATATAGTAGTACTAGATATATACCTACCCTAAGGGCGTCTTATCTATAGAGTACTATATATAAAAAGTCTTATATAAAATACGCTTATTTAAAAGTAGGCGTATCTAGTAATTTCTTATATATATTTTTTTATATATAGTTTATAGTAATTATATACCTATACTAGATCTATATTACTTAGCTAAAGTCTTATATATAGTTTCTTATATAACTAATTTTTTTAAAATAAACCTTAGAATAAAGATAAACCTAATTTTAGCCCTTTTAAGTATTATTAAGCTTTTTTCCTATAGTTATAGTGCTAGTTTAGACCTACTAGTTAGTAGGTAAAGGCTTAAATTATAATAAGTAGGTGAATTATTTAGGGAAGGTATAACCTATATTAATTACCTTAGAGGATTATCTTACTTCTTTAGGTATACTTTATCTACCTCTAAGCTTTCTCTACTTATTATTTAGTAATATAGATTTTATAAATAAAAATAAAGCCTATAATAATACCTTTTACTCTATTATTACCTTTACCTACCTTTTAGCTATTTATAATTAACTTATTCTTATCTAGTAACTCCTATACTACTATAATAATATTTCTTTTATTAATTAGTTTTTCTATTAAGATATAAATATATTTAATAAATACCTATCTTAACTACTAGTATAGTTAGTTTAGTATTACTACTACTATTAATTATACTTATAATATTTAAATACTATACTCTAACTAGCTAAAGAAAAAAACTTTCTAGTAGTTTAGCTATTTATCTTTTAGTATAGTATAAGTTAAGTACTAATAATAGGTAACTAGGCCTTATATCTATAAGGTAGTAGGTAGGTAACTAGGGTATTTAAGGCTATATAGAGAGTTTCCTTATACTATTTCCTATATAAGAGCTTATATAAGAGTTAGTATAAGGAGTAAATTCTTTTATAAAATTAGCTAATTAGATAGGTTTATAAAGTATTATTATATACACTATAGTATAATTATATAGATAAGACTTATTAAACTAGTATATATCTTTAACTAGCGTAAATACTAAACGTCCTTATAGAATCTACCTAGACACCTCCTCTACCTAAGAATACTATATTTTACTATTATAGTTAGTAAAATCTATCTAGCTCTTTCTTTTCTAATTTAATAAGCTATATAACCTAACTATAGAATTTTTATTAGTTAGTAGACGCTAAACTATAATAAAAGGCTATATAACTAGACTATAAAAAAGCTAGACTTAGTATAGTTATATAGATAAGACTAACTAATAAAGGTTCTAGATAATACCTAGGTAACTACTAACCTAATAATAGTTAGTATAGTTATATTTATAAAACTATATAGGCTTAATATATTAACCCCTCTCCTATTACTATCTAGTAATAGGTTCTTAAGGTATAATAAAGTTACGCTAAACTTAGGAATAATCTTTAGTATCCTTACCTAATAGCGTAATAAGAATAACTAAAAAAAAAAAGGCCTAAGAGGGTACTTCTATATATATAAATAAAGACTAAGATATATAATATTTAGAGTTTAATAGATTAATACATAATATTATAATCTATAATTTATATACCTAAAGGCATAGTAAGGATTACACTAGATAGTAGCTAGAGGGGCACGTTTTACTAGCCTTATAGTATAGTAAAGGCTAAAAACAGAGAATATATACTATAAGGAGAGGTTAAGTATCCTATACACGCGTTAATATAATTATTAATAGATAAAAGATTTTAATAAAGTAGCCTATAAGGTAGAGAATTAGCCTTAACTTTTTAGGTTAATCCTTATATAGCTTGCCTAGTAAAATAATAGATTATAGAACTAATAAGTGACTAGGAACACTAATAAGTAAAGAATAGGAAAGAGTAAGAGTAGAAGTAGTAAAGGTTTTATAGACTATCTTATAACCTATCTTCCTTACTTCTAGCCTAGTACACTTTAACTCTTTATTTCTAATTTAACTAGATTTCCACTAGTAGAGATATATAGACCTTTTAAATTTAAAACTAAGATAGCTACTTTATTATCTAAAGATTCTATATCTATAATATATATATCTTTATTATCCTTTACTATATCTATATCTTCTTATATAAGCTATTCTAAACTATATCCTAGTTTTAACCCTACACCTCTATTCTTATCTACTATATATTTAAGCTAAATAATAACTAGTCCTACCTAGATAAGTATAATAGTAGAGGCGTTAAGAGTAAGTGTAGTTAGGCTTCCCTAATATACTATAAGTAAATCTAATTTATCTAAAGACATAATGTCTATACTTAATTTAGTTTATTTAACTAGTAGGTACTTAAGTTTTAAACTAATCCTTATTTATATAGTTAGTTATTCTTAGCTAGTATTAATACTAGACTCTAGCCTAAGTAATTCTTCTTCTATAATCCCCCCTAGCCTAAGTAGTATACCTAATATAGTTATAAAAATATCTATTATTTATAATATACTTTTATTAGGCTATAAAAAAGAGTTCTTTACTACTTTAATAGTAATATAACTATACTATTATAAATATAAGCCTCTAGACTTTATATAAAGAGATACTCTAATCTATACTATAAAGGGAATATAGGTAACTTCTAGGTAAGGTATAATCTTTTATAATATTACTTTATATATACTTTTATAGCTTAATATAAGAATATATTATAGAAGAAGTATATTATCTTACTTAAAGTAATAACTCTTAGGGCTAGCTTAGGCTAATGTGTTTTAAGGTAATATATAAGCTATATTTTTATATATATTTTCCCCTCTTATATAGTCTTAAAATACTAGTAGAAGAATAACTCCTTTACTATTTATTTATCTTAATTAAGTAAATATACTACTTAGGTAATACTAGTCTAGCGCCTATATATAATTTATAATCTTATATAGGTAATAAAAAAACCTAGCTAATAGTTAATAAATAGTAGGTAAAATATATTCTAAGATAAGCTAACTATAATAACCTTTATATTATAAATAAGGGGATATTCCTTAGTAGTATAATATAGAAATTATATAATATTATAGTATTAAACCACTTTATAGATTATCTTAAGTAGAATTTTTCACTTACTTAGGCTTATTATAGTATTTAGGATTAAAGAAAGCATTTATAATAAGCTACTATTATAAGAAAGCTATATAATAGCTTTAATAAGGTTATAGAGGCATTATTTAGTTTAGTACTTAAGCTATATATTAATATTCTTAATTACTACTTTAGCTTATTAATAAAACTTAGGATATTTACTAGCTAGTTATATTAAGGTCTTTTTTAGTAATTACCTAAGTATTTATTTAGATTTCTTTTACTTATATAGTATATAGTATATCCTTTTATAAATATAAAGTAAGTATATTATTATAATATTCCTAAAGACTATATCCTCTATAGTAAGATCTATCTTAAAGTTAAAATAGTAATAACTAGTGGCTTATAGATAATACTTACTTACTTTATAAAACTTTAGATAATAAATAAAAGATATTTTTAAAGCTATCCTTAATATCTTTTAAGATAAAAAGGCTATTATTATAGTAGGCTTAATTAATAGTAATAAATAACTCTAATCTATTTATCTTTAGCTTCTTATATATATATAATACTAGTATATAATTTAAATCTTTATTAATATTTAAGAGAAATATAAAAGTATTTACTAGATTATATTCTTTATTAAAAGGTAGAGAGTATATTAAAGGGTTAATATATACTTATTATTAATAGAGGTTAATTAATAGCTTAGTTAAAATAATATATAAAAGGTATATAAAAGTAATTACTTTAATATAAGTAATATCTAAAATATATAAAGTAGTTTATTTTATTATATCTTTTAGATTTAGAGAGTTTATTAAGGCTAGGTATAGAAGATAGGCCTAGAGATAGCCCTATAAATAAATTATAGAAGTTATTTTTATAAGATATACTATATTATATTAAGTACTTATTATTATATTATAATATATTATAATAACTATAAGTAAAAAGTATATACTATTATACCTTTAGCTATCTAATACTCTATATCTTATTAAAGAGGAGCCTATAAATATAATATAAGAAGCTATATAAACTATAAGGTATATTTATCTTTTATATATAATACCTTATCTTATTTACTATTATATATTAGTAGTTTACTATATATTTAGTATTTTAACTAATCTAGAGTTTAAATAGATAAATAAACTAATAAGTATATATATAGTAAAACTAATAGCTATAATATACTAAGATAAAGGTAGTCTTTTAGTATTTATAATATTATCCTTTATATACTAATATAGTAAGTTAGATTATTTATAAAGACTATTTATATAAAATTTATATTCTCTTTATATATATATATATTCTTTATATCTATAACTAGAGTATTATAAGTAATATAGTAAGTTATCTAACTTATATAATTAGGGGTTAATAGTTATATTAATACTAAAGCGTATAGTATCTTAACCTTATATATATTTATAATATAATTATTAGTATATAATATAAAATTAAGATACTAAAAGCTAAAATAATAGAGCGCTTTAATTAAAATATAGCCACTATAGCTATGTTACATGACTATATTTAGCAGGTAGAGAATAACCTTATTATATACTATAATATTAATACACTAAATGATGGCATCGCTTAGTCACGAAACGTCCTTAATGCCGTCGCCACTGATGTTGGCGCATGCCGTCAAGGCCTTCAGACAATCAAAGACGTCGTAGCGTGCAAACAGGCTATAGAGGAATCGCAGCTGCAGTTACGGGACAGAATCAGCAACGCGCAAACCGACATAAAGCAGGCAATAACCACAGCTCGACAAGAACTTAGTACGGGAATCACAACACTACAAGACAGCCTTCTTAATGCCATTAGGCTGTCTTGATGCCGTTAGGGGAGTAGGCGCGAACTAGGCAAGGGTATAAAGACTATAAATAAGGCTATCACAAGCATTATAGGCGGTTTCAAGGGACACATCAGTAATACATATAAGGTCATCATCACTTAGACTAGCCTCACCCGTACACCATCTCACGAGGTACTTAATAGCAAAATACGTAAAATACAGGGCATTATTAAACATATAAACACTTCTTTATAGAATCTACCACAAACTTTAGAATTCAGCCTTACTAAAACATTAAGACATACTACCATCATAAGCGATAACATAACAAGGGAAGTCTAAGAGAGGCTAAAGAACCTATATAAGGAGCTATGTAACAGGATCTAGGACGTTTAGCTAGAGATACGGGCCAGGCACTTTAACAACACTACACGTCTAGCAAACAAGCTATCAAGCTACTACATAAGCATAATCATTAAATTATAGGGGATTAATAAGTTACCTATTCATACTCTTCCTAAGACTTATATTAGCCTACAGGATCTTTAAGGTAAGCACTATCATAGAAGATAACACAGCAAAAGGTCAGTCATAACTACAATTAAGTTCCTAATTATTAGCGTCTATAGGAAATATAGATAATATTCTTATATACTTATAATTAAATATAAACATACCTTATACTAAAAAACGCTAGTAATTTAAAGTATATATAGGTTTATGAAAGTAGTAACTAGTATATCTATCTACACCGCCGGCTAATCCTTATAATTTAGTACCCTCCTTAACACCAAGCAGCTAAATAGAATATAAGCACTAAGGGCTATTTAGCTAAAGGAGCATTTATATTTTAAACTCTAAGTATAAATATATTTATCTCCTATATTACCCTTTAAGTTATTTAGACAGCCTTAGTACCACTTCACTAGTTAAGGTAATGGCAGTATATAAGTAGGCTCTAGAGCAACAGTACGTAAAGTATTACATAGCTATTAACATTAATACAGTAGTTATTCCTTTAATTAGCTATATTTACTTAGCTAGAAGAATATTATTAGTGCTATTATAATAGGTAATAGGCATCCCGCGTTATTATACACACTATATTACTTCATTTTATATTATTCTTTAAAAGAAATAGTCAACCACGGCAAGGTTATCTAGAGTTTAATTAAGATACATTAACATATTCCGTACATAGATCTATATATCGACCCGCTATAAGCTAAGGTAACTCTCCTATTAATCTATAAAAGAAAAACTATTATAGCGTAAGCGTCTAGGCCTATTTTATTATAACTATACTAAGGTTAAGTAGATCTACCTATAAAAATAGCGGCTAAGATATTTTATACTAGGTAGCCTTATTAAATTAACTTAGCTAAAAAAGAATTTATAGCTAGATTTATTATAATTAAGGTTATCTCACTAATAATTAGTAGGTTATAAAGTATATATAATATTAAGTATATTATAAATAGCTATGCGTCTATCTATATCTCACTATAGTTATAAATCTTTTGGTTTTATATAAGCTAGGAACTATATTTAGAAAATAGCTTTAGTAAACTAGACTATATAAGTTATTTTTAGAGCGGCTAATAGTAGTAGGCTGCTCGAGGTTCGCAGTAATCATCGATAGATGGCAGGCGAACGCTGTAGAGCGAGTATATGAGGGGCTGGCTGACAGGTACAAGTGGGGTGGTCAATCAAAAGCAACGGGACAAGGGGGGGGGGGGGGCTCAATAAGCCATGAACGGGCTACGGCGGGTTCGACTGGCTCATGGCCTGGCTCATGGCCTGGCTACGAGGAGGTAATGAGCTGCCCATCACAGCGCAGTTATGAAGGGGAAGGGGATGGGCTGGCCCATCGCAGTGTAGTCTTAGGGGCAGGGGGTGTTGAGCTGGCCCATCGCAGAGCAGTCATAGGGGCAGGGGTGTTGAGCTGGCCCATCGCAGTGCAGTCGTCATCGACTGGCCGAACCTGCCGAACCCGCCAGAGCCTGGTCATCGGCCGGCCGAACCTGCCTTGGCTGAGTTGCCATAGGCTGGCCGAACCCACCTGGTCATCGACTGGCCGAACCGCAGAGCAGTCTTAGGAGCAAGGGGTAATGAGGCGGCCGATTGCAGCGCAGTCTCCGTCATAGGGGGGCAGGGGGTCTTGAGCTGGCCCATCGCAGCCCCTAGAGGGGAGGAGTAATGAGCTGGCCCTTCGCATTATGGCCTGGCTACGCAGCCTGGCTACTGCGGGTTCGACTGGCTTATTGTTCGATGACCATTGTCCTTACATTGTTGGATGAAACAGTACTAGCTGGTTCTATTTATGGGTAGCCGCCCCTCGTAGGTGGTTATTCAGATCTAGATCCTTACCCTGTGGCTCGAACCCCGGCCTGAATATCCCCGACGGAAGGAGTGAATCGCCACGGTAATAATAAACAACACGGGATTGTCCACGCCGCGGCGCCTTTATTTTGGAAACGTCAACTGCCGAGGTGGTTGCAGAATTCTCGGGAACTTGAGGCTTGGGGATATCTCCTCGTTCAACCCAAATCACAGTTCCTATTCTGCTGTAGCTGGCTTGCCAAAACACAGTCCCTGCACACTACTACCTGGCCTGTTAGAACACAGTCCCTGCTCTGCACTAGCTGGCTTGCCAGACCACAGTCCCTGCAATCTACTAGCTGGCTTGCCAAAACACATTCCCTGCCCTACACAAACCTTGCTGACTGATGTACCTCAGATACGAGCCGTACAGACCTGGGTTTGGCCCCCGACCAATGAATTCTCCATCAACGGTACGGATTTGCAGAACGGTAATGGACTGCAGACACGACTGTAACCGCTCAGGGACCACCCGTTTGCATACCTAGGACCAACCAATAATAAGATACTGTTGTCACAATGCGATCACAGTGGCTGTCAGCCATAAAACATTTGGCCAATCGGCAAGCTACCATTGATTATCCACTAAACAAAGCTAATCGCAGAAAGTGAGACCTGAAAACACAATCAAGAAACCAATATATTAGATTCATACAATGGTATCTACACCCCCAGTTCAGTGGCCAAGAAATACGGCACACTCCTTAGATCCCCCTGCCGGTTAAGGAGCTGGTTCATTGGCCGAGTTACGGAATGAGGCGTTATATGTCACCCCTTTGCTGAAAACGGCGCAGAGCCCCTGCCACTGGATGAGTAGTGGAGACAAGCGCGTAGTTTTCTTCTGTTATTTTAACCCTTTCGCTGTCACCAGATACTGGTTACGGGTATTCGAGAGCGTATTTCGGACAACGTACTGCAAGAATCTCAAGATAGGAAGCAACTAGAGGTAATGGCCTTGTAAGGACCGACTGTATTTAATTCTTAACCTGCGCTCGCGACGGTTTAGCAGCCAGCATCGTAGACGTAAGAGTTATCTCACCGCAACAATGCCAATCACGCCAGCTAAGCGCGACAGAACATGCGAAAACTTCACCAAGGCTACTTATCGCGTGATGAGAAGATGCGACCAGATGAGCCGCCGCTATGGCGCTGACTTTACGTATTGGTGCGCCGGCAACATCGACACTACGACTACAGCTCAACGAACGACAATTGCTTTCCAACTCATATTGACATGGTATGTTCTAGTTAATGGGAAATATATACAACAGAAGTATTAAGCCAAGTTTCTAGGACAAAATCTATCCGCTGCCCATTAGGCGAACACCTAAGGATTTCAGGAACGACCAACAGATGCGCGCAGGGATTGATAAGGATAGTTGACGGCAGGCTTTCTATCTATACGCGTATGGATTAATTAATGTATATGGAAAATTCCATACTCTATATTCCATATTCTATATAACTAGTTCCTATTCTATATGTATTCTATACGTATTCTATATGGTAGAGAATTAAAAATCCTTCCGCGAGCTATGTTATAGGGGATTTAATATAGTTATTTAATAGCGGCAGTATTTATCTTACCTTAGTAACTACTATGTTATCGCTAATGTCTAGCGTGTTAGTAGATCCTTAGTGGCTTCTAATGTCCGCTAGCGACCTGCCTCTATATTCCACCATTAGCAGTGGGCCTTAGCTTACCATCTCTTCTAGTGACCGCCTATCACAGAAATAAAAGACGACTATGAATACCTAGGCCTACGCTTATGAGCCTGCTAGCTTAGAACCTAGCCGCTATGGTTATAAAAATAAAAAGATTTACTATTATAGACATTATATAGACCTACTATACTTTATAAGTGTCTTAATAACCTTTTAAAACTATTTATTAAGTATTTATAGTATTAAGCTAGAGGTACTAGAGTATCTTATTAAGTAATAATATAATTACCTTATTTAGGATGCCTTTACTAAGGCTAAAGAGATATATATAGTAAAGTAGCTATTAGGATAAGAGGATATATTAAGAAGCGCTATTAACCTTAAGGTAACGTGTAAGGTACTAGTCTAGCTAGTTACTATCTATAACCTCTCTTATAACTATAGCTTATAGTTAGAGTTATATATACTTATTTTTATAATTAATTTTATAACTAATAGTGTTATTAGTCTATTAAATAACTTTATATAGAAACTTATTATAAATTCCTATAATATTTATAAAGATATCTTATAGAGAAAGCTATAGTTAACGCCGTAGAAGTTATATCTTTCTATAGATATTTAGTCTACTCTAAACTATAAGGCGTTCTTCGGAATTTACGTGAGATTTGTTAATAGAGGTACGAAGGAGGCCTTATAAGCGCTGCTGGCTTTGCCGGAGCTACCTGGACTGGACGGCCCCGACAGTCATGGTGGTGCGGAACAATGGAAGATTCTGCGGCGTGTGCTTGAAGACTACAACATCTGGCACAAGATTGGTTTCTACACTGGCGATAATCATGGCTCAAACGACAAGCTATGCCGCCTTCTGGGCGAACATCTTCAAGGTAAAGGCATCGCTTGGGACGCCAGGTCGCAGCGAATCCGCTGCCATGGCCATATCCTCAACCTCGCTGTACAAGCCTTCCTGTTCATGGATTCCAAAGAAGCAGCGCAGGCAGCTCTGGAGCAAATTGAGCTTACAGACGAATCGGCGTTTGGTGCAGACTTCTCTGAATCGGTCAAGGCCCAGAGAATACAAGGCTGGAGGCGGCTCGGACCGCTTGGTAAGGTGCACAACATTTCGGTGCATATGCGCGGCTGCGACTTCCGCTGGAACGAGTTCAGGAGGCGCGCGGGGAGGTCCCTAGGACTTGACAATGATACGCGCTGGAACTCGTGGTTCCGCCTCCTAGACGTTACTCTTAATCTCCAAAGCGACGTGGAATGGTACCAGAGGAAGTATTATGACGATCTTCGCGAGGACTACCTCGCGCCAGAAGAGTGGCGAGTACTCACAGAGACGCGCGCATTTCTGCAGCCGTTCTGAAAGATATCGCAGCTTACGGAGGGACGTTGCGCTACGTTGGATCGTTCGCTCTTCACCCTGGACGTTCTACACAAGCATTACACCCAGGAGTTTGAACGGTGTGCTCATGATAGCGAGATGCGAAGCTGCATCGCAGCTTCTTGGGCCGTGTTTGACAAGTACTACCAACTGACGGACGAGAGTCCGGTCTACGGCGCGGCCATAATACTTCACCCGTCGAGGCGGCTGGCGCACATCAAGAAGAACTGGCCAAGGTCATGGCATAAGCAGGTCCTTGACGGCGCCAGGTAGCATTGGAAACATCATTATCAGGGACTCCCGATTGCCACTTTGACTCCTCGGCTAGGAAGTCAAGACAAGCGGTTGGATGAATATGACATGCTTGCGCGTGAATTAGATGTCGTGAGTCCGGCGATGAGCGACTTGGACGAGTACGAGTCTTTTACCGCCCAGCCACCTGTGGCAATTGACTGTTCTCCCCTGGCTTGGTGGCTTCGGGAAG